ACCTCAGATTTTTTTTATTAATTTATAAGTATTTTACGGAACTACTATAGCAATACTGTAGCAGGGTATCGATTCCCTGTAGCAGGGGAATCGGTTCCCCTATTTGAATATGGAAAATTTTAACATTCGGGTACTGTAGTAGATATTGTTCATCACTATTCATACGGTACTGTTCATACGTATTTTACTGTTCATAAATATATTTTTGATTGGAAATTTTATACGAAACACAATTTAATAGAATATTCTGGTATTTTCCTAAAATAAGTTCAAATGTTTTGATATTTTGTAAGAAAAAGGTTTTGAAAAGTCAATGTGACATCTCGGACTCGTATTCGGGTCGGATACGGGTTAGGGTGTTACAATTATAATTGTGGCAAGAAGGATCACTTTAAAAGAGATTGCCGAGCACTGAAGAAAGATATCGGCGCACAGGAATCTGCCAACATGACAGAGGAGACAGGTGATGCCATGATTCTAAGCGTCAATAGTCCAATTGAATCATGGATCTTGGATTTAGGGGCATCTTTCCACTCCACCCCATGCCAAGAAATCATGGAGAACTATGTCAGTGGTGATTTTGGGAATGTTCATCTAGCTGATGATGAAACCTTGAAGATCATCAGAAAATGAGACATCCGATTAAAGTTGCCAAACCAGACCATCTGGAAGCTGGACATATTCCTGGCCTCAAAAGAAATTTGATTTCTGTAGGACAACTTGATGGAGAAAGATATAGTACAACCTTTTCAGGTTGTGAATGAAAGATTACCTAAGGAGCACTCGTCATTGTTCTTGGTAATAAGACTGATACTCTCTATGTAACCTCAAATTTAGAGAATATCATTGCAGTAGTAGATGCTGATGGAAAATCAAACCTATGGCACCAAAGGCTTGGCCATTTGAGCGAGAAAGGGATGAAGACACTTTTGTCAAAAGGGAAGCTGCCAGATCTAAAGAGTATAGATGTCGGACTATGTGAGTATTGCATCTTTGGCAAACAAAAGAAAGTCAGTTTTGCAAAGATTGACAAGACACCCAAGGCAAAAAAGTTAGAGTTGGTTCATACTGATGTATGGGGACCATCTCCAGTTCCATCTCTTGCATGCTTACTATATTATGTCACCTTCATCGATGATTCTACAAGGAAGGTGTGAGTTTATTTTCTGAAGAAGAAATCAGAAGTCTTTGATACCTCCAGAAAATGGAAGGCCATGGTGGAAAATGAGACTGGTTTAAAAGTCAAGCGGTTGAGGTATGACAATGGAAGAGAGTACAGAAACAATAGATTCAGAGATTTCTGCGTAAACAATGGGATCAAGATGGAGACAACAGTTCCCATGACACTGCAGCAGAATGGTGTAGCAGAGCGCATGAATAGAACTCTGAATGAACGTGCCAGAAGCATGAGGATACATGCCGGATTGCCCAAATTGCTATAGGCTGAAGCTATCAACACTGCAGCTTACATGATCAACCGTGGGCCCTCAGTTCCCTTGGATGGCGGAATACCAGAGGAAGTTTGGAGCAAGAAAGAAACAAACCTTTCACACTTAAGAGTGTTTTATTATATTTCTTATATACACATAAATGTTGCTGAAAGAAGTAAACTTGATGCTAAGTCCAACAAATGCGTCTTTGTTGGTTATGGTAGTGATGAGTTCGGTTACCGGTTTTGGGACTACGAAAATTGAAAGATCATCAGAAACAGAGATGTCATTTTCAATGAAAATGTGATGTAAAAAGACATGTCAACCACAGAATCAAGTAGCTCCAATACCGAAGCTGAAATAAAGAAATTTGCTGAGTTTGAGGAGATTTCTGGAAATGATGTTTAGATCAGTCCTGAAGAAGTCCAAGAAGAACCAGACATACCAAAACTGAGACGCTCCTCCAGAATTCCTAAACCAACCCAGCGTTATTCACCTTCTTTGCACTACTTGTTGCTGACTGACAATGGTGAACCAGAGTGTTATGATGAAGCAATGCAGGTGGAGGATTCAGTCAAGTAGGAGTCTTCCATGAAAGATGAGATGGATTCACTTATGTCAAATCAGACGTGAGAATTAGCTAAATTACCACCAGGTAAGTAAGCGCTCCATAACAAGTGAATTTATAGGATCAAAGAAGAGCACGATGGGAGCAAATGCTACAAAGCAAGATTGGTTGTCAAAGGGTTTCAACAAAAAGAAGGTATTGACTAAAATGAAATTTTCTCTCCAGTCGTAAAACTGTCTACAATCAGACTGGCATTAAAAATTGTAGCTGTAGAGAATTTACATCTTGAGCAGTTAGATGTAAATACAACTTTCCTTCATGGTGATTTGGAGGAAGAAATCTATATGAGGCAGCCAGAAGGCTTCATAAAGGCAGGCAAGAAAAACCTGGTATGCAGGTTGAAGAAGAGCTTGTATGGTTTAAAACAAGCTCCTAAACAGTGATACAAGAAGTTCAATAGCTTCATGAGTAGTAATGGTTTTACCAGATGCCAAACAGATCATTGTTGCTACATCAAGAGGTTCGACAACAGCTTCATTATTTTATTGTTGTACGTTGATGACATGCTTGTTGTAGGTTCAGACATGCAAGAGATTATAAACTTGAAGCAAAAATTGTCGAAACAATTTGCAATGAAAGATCTGGGCGCTGCAAAACAGATTCTTGGGATGAGGATTAAGAGAGACACAAAGTCAGGGACTTTGATGTTATCACAGGCTAAGTACATCAACAAAGTAACTCTCCAGGTTCAACATTCAAGATGCTAAACCAGTAAGTACACCTTTAGGTGTTCATTTTAGACTCTCCAAAGAACATTCACCAAAGTCGGAGGAAGAACGTACACACATGGTGAAGGTGCTGTATGCCTTAGCAATTGGAAGTCTGATGTATGCCATGGTTTGTACTAGACCATATATTGCTCATGCAGTGGAAGCTGTTAGCAGGTACATGAATAATCCAGGCAAGGTACACTGGGAAGCAGTCAAATGGATCTCAGATATCTGCGGGGTACTACAAACAAAACACTTTGTTTCAAAGGTAGAGATACGATATTGACAGGCTATGTAGATGCTGACTTAGCCGAAAATGTTAACATTAGAAGAAGCACTACAGGGTATGTCTATACTCTAGGAGGAACTGCAGTGAGTTGGGTTTCTCAACTACAGAAGATAGTTGCTCTCTCCACAACTGAAACAAAATATGTCGCTGTTACGGAAGCCAACAAGGAGATGGTTTGGCTCCAAAGTTTCTTGGAAGAGTTAGGCAAGAAACAAGAAAACAATGTCTTGTATTGCGACAGTCAAAGTGCTATCCATCTAGCGAATAATCCATCTTTTCATTCCAGGACGAAGCACATACAATTGAGATATCATTTTATCCGGTCTCTTCTGGAAGATGGGATTTTGAAACTTGAAAAGATTAGTGGAGCTCAAAATCCGGCAGACATGTTGACAAAGACGATGACTACGGACAAACTGAAGTTGTGTTCAGCTTCAGTTGGCATGCTAGAGTAACAAGAGCAGAAATGTTGCTGCATTAATCGAGGTGTGAAGATAGATTAAAATGTTTTAGGGATGAAGAGTTAAAATGTAATTTTAGAATCGGTTAATAACTTTGTAATACTTTAGGGATTAAATTAAAAATTTGTTATTCTTGAGGAGTCTAAAATGTAGTTTCACCTTTGTTTAAGCAAAAACTTTGTAATTTTAAAGGGATTAAAATTACAATTTAGGGCCCAAGTACATGGCAAACCTCTTATTTTGTTTTATGTAACATTTTCGAAAAGAATAAAATGATTATGTTCTATGTACAAAGGAATAATAAGCAAAACAGTGCAGAAAAGATTAAATGCTAAATATAAAGCGCGTGAAATAAATGCATCTTGCTAATAGCTATATGTATGGAAAGGGAAGACGTCGACAAGATAGGTACGAGTGTAGGGAGGCATTTATATTCCTAAATTATTTGAGTTTTGGTTCCGCAGAAAATTTAAATTTAGTCCTATTTTTTATAATTAAGTTTTAATAGTATTGAATTTCGTGATTAAAGATGAACATGAATCAAATTAGGTTAATTTTTTGATTAATTTAAATTAGATTCAGGTATAAAATATTTTCACTTATTAATTGACTCGATTTTAGATTAAGAAAGCCTCATTAGTATAAAATCTGACTTGATTTTTAGAGTAAAATTTACACCCAATTTAACCTGACCAAACACCAATATATGTATAAATATATAAATTTTATTTTTATTAAGTAAAGTAGGAACTTAATTGAGAAAGAAACATATAGAGAGGAGTATTATAAAACTTATCTTTAAATATGTGAAGGTAAATTATACTATTATTTTTTGATCGGATATTTTTCATCTTAAGCTCTGAACTTAATCCAACAAGTTATTGTCTTTCGACAAATTTAATTTAATCCGAACTCAAATCTCGTATACTTTTAAAAATATCTTCTACATTTTATATATATTTTTAAAGAATTTAAAATTTATCTCATCATCATTTTATTTTTTTTCAAAAATTTAATAAAAAACTAAAAATAAATTAATATGTTTAAAATTTATTTGAATTTCATTACACAATAATATTGATGTGTTACTTAAGCATCAACGTAAAGAAATAAAAATATATATAGTAATATTAATGATGCTGAAGATATCGATCCGAGTCGAGTATCATTTAATTCCTCATTCATCTACCTTATTTATTACCCATCTCTCAGCTCTTTCCCATTTTCCATTTTTGAGTTCAAACTTTGCTTCTCACTTCTCCCTCAACAGTTTTTATTCTAACTGTTTTCTTCACTTTCGATTCCCTTGTAAAACAGTAGAAGCATCCAACTACGGCAAATATTCAAAGCTCCGGAGTTTTTTGTTTTTAGATTCCCATCCGAAAAAAGAAGATCACTTGATGGTGATAGTTTCATATTACATTTAATTCTTTTTTCAGGAAATCCTTTCTTTTCCCACTGCTTTTTTCAGAGAAAAATACAGATTTTTTTTCCAATGGATAATAATTTGTGTGAGTTTTTCGAAGAACTCGAGCACGTCGGTGAAGATGATTTGTTCAGTATTTTTGAGAGTTTAGATGGGCTGGCTGAGTCGTTTCAGTTTCCCTTCACTCCGTTTGAAGAAATGGCTGCTGCTGGTTGTACACCAAAATCTGCTTCCTCGAGTGCTCAAATGGAGTCCGAAACCGAGGAAACTTCACCCAAAAGCAAGAGGCAGAAGGTAGTGACGAACCTCGATGGTCCTCAAAGGATGTCGCATATTAACATCGAACGCAACCGGAGGAAGCAAATGAACGAGCATTTAACCGTGCTCAGATCGTTGATGCCTTGCTTCTACGTCAAAAGAGTAAGCTATTTTTTATTTTTTATGGTTATTTTAGTTAAAAGTGACTCGTATATACGTTCTTAATAAATTAAGAAAAAATTTAAATAAATATTATTTTACGATCGCATTATAAAAAAGTGAATTTTACATCTCAATAAGATTGTGTGTTTTATGTCTTAGGGGGATCAAGCGTCGATTATTGGGGGCGTGGTGGATTACATCAATGAGTTGCAACAAGTTCTACAATCTCTAGAGGCCAAGAAACAAAGGAAAGTTTACAGCGAAGTGTTGAGTCCAAGATTGGTTTTAAGTCCGAGATCGTCGGCTCTCAGCCCTCGGAAGCCTCCTCTAAGTCCGAGGCTAAACTTGCCGATAAGCCCGAGAACCCCTCTGCCCGGTAGCCCTTACAAGCCGATGTTGCAAAAGAGTTATCTGTCTCCGACTGTGGTTAGTACTTCGGTCGAACAGTCACCGGCTTCCTCCACTTCCTCCGTTGACAACAATGAGCTCGTCGCGAAATCAAAGTCCCCGATCGCCGACGTGGAAGTTAAGTTTTCGGGCCCGAATCTAGTTTTGAAGACGGTATCTCCTCGGATTCCTGGTCAAGCTCTGAAAATAATATCGGCTCTTGAGGAACTCTCACTCGAAATCCTCAATGTCAACATTAACACCGTTGATGAAATCATGCTTAATTCCTTCACAATCAAGGTAAAACCTGAGATCTCCAGTCCAGCCAATGTATATATTAAGCAAAAGATAATCGGACTCAACAATGTCTCTTGATTTTGTTGTTTTTCTCTTAACTGCACTTTGATTATGAATGATTTCTTTCATCGTTGACAACATCAGGGCATTCAGAGAAGTAGAATCCTTCGTTAACTTTCACTGTTTTTCTTTTGTCATTAATAAAATGAACAGTTGCAGTAATTCTCTGACAAACGTAAAACTGACATTGGAGTACTGCAACGGTACTTGCTGTAAAAAACAAAAAGCAAACTAATTTACTTAAAGTTCTCGGAAAACGCAACCGTATAGGCCTATCGCTGAAAACTATGGCATCTTTGCTGTCATTTTCATGAACAAATTTATGTTATATACTAATTTTCTTGTGTTTTTTGATGAGCAGATTGGGATTGAATGCCAGTTGAGTGCTGAAGAACTCGCCCACCAGATCCAGCAAACATTCGGCCATTGCTAGGGTTTACTCGATCGATCATATATATATATATATATATATATAGCTCTTCCTCTCTGGGAAAATGGCATTTACTTTTTCATTTAGGTTTGATAACTTACATGTAATTGTAGATTAGTAATGTTAATTATCACGGGATTGCATTCATTAGCTGATAGTATTATAGTGTTAAGAGTAAGTGTATCACATCCTTGTAAGTTTTGTAGTCTCTTAGGTCAAAGTTTAATTACTTTTTTTTCTTCATATTTGCATGTAGGGAACATACAATTAAAATCCTTTTGTTTTGAGTTCAATCGATCTCTTTTCTTTGGCTCTTGCTTTTGTTTGTTTTATTATTTCAGTACAATTTAAACTTAGATTAATATCGTAAGAGAAAATAAACGTTAATAATATATTTATTGATATTCGATTCATTAATCGAGTAATTTAAATAGAATATTATAGATGATTCATTATATAGCACAATGGTCCCATGCATGCAATCTAAACAAGATCTCTCAGCAGTATCGTAGCAGGCAATGAGGCTCAAACATTTGCATGACTGCCTTAAAGAGGCTTAATATTAATGTATTAGGGACCACTCGAAAAAAATAATTTATTTTATAACTTTTGTCTCATTTTTCTACTCAAGTTTGGACCACCTAATAAAATCATTTTCTCAACTGCTCAAGGAATCAGAAATTAATTATAGTTTATGAGCATACGGTTCAAATTGGAAATGGACTGCTCCTATAAAAGTAAAATGAATGCATATGGTAAAGGGTGGCGGCTCATCACACAATGTTCATCGGTCTGGGCTCTGAAATGTAAATGGATTATAATAGATCCATTGGGCAAATCTGACCATGGCCTCAAATCTAGGTTATTGGGTGCCTTTCGTGGTCCAATGTTGGGCTATGGATTTATCATAGCTTCATCAATTCAATGTCCAATACGTATTCTATTTGGTTTTTTGTCACAATTCATTACTACCTATCGAATTGTGTCCTGGATGCATAATTTGAAAAAAAAAATATTGTACCATCTTCGTATCCCTGTATGTTAAGTTTTTTTTTAGTCTTATACCTTTTAAAATGTTATGATCTTTTAACATTATCTTTAATATACCTCACGTAAGTTGTTAGAATTAAAATCAATTGACAGTTAATCATATCAATTATGTTCATATATCATGTGAGCTTACAAATACTCATCATAACTCAACACAAATACTAAATGTCACTTTAAAACCTCTCGATTAAGATTGAAAAAAGAATTTGGAACTAAACTGTTGGGATTGATGAAGCTCTAATTGACAACCAAAACTATTGCCAAGAGAAGGTGAATTGGCTGTTTGAGAATTTTTAAGGAGATTTAAAGAGATAGAAAATTATTGCACAAGGATTTATAGTGGTTCGAATTTCTCAATCAAAGTCTACATCCACTACCTAAGCTCATCACTTAGGATTTTCCAACAAATCAACTAATATGTTCTTTCTTTTTCAAGGATCAAGAGTAACCTTTACAACTCCCTATACTTTTAATTGGCTAAGATAGAACCAAAACCCCTTCTACAAAATGAAAAAGATGTAAAAAAGATCAACTCTATAAGGTAGGCATTTACAAATTAAAGCTCACTAAAACACAACTATTTACAAGAGAAAGAAAATAAGAATAAAAAAACGTTTCTCTTGTGTATGATTGCTTGAATGAGTGTTCTAACCCTTCTTCAAGTGTCTTGAACTTGTATTTATATGTAGGAATCTGTTTGTGGTCGTTTCTAGCCGTTAGGGATGATTTCTAGTCGTTTGGGGATTTTTCTCTACAAAAGTAATCTGCCAAGGACAGGGAGTATCGATACTTCCTTTATTAATTTTAAATAAAACTAGCCGTTACTAGCCATTGGTCCTGACGGTATCGATACTGTGACCATGGTATCGATATTACTATGTAAAGTAGTATTGGTACCCCTTTGGGTATCGATACTTATTTTGCATTCTGAAATTTGAGCAAGCTTGTAGTATCGATACTACCTTGAGAGTATCGATACTTCTCTTACCTTTGGTATCGGTACCACATGAACAATTTCGGTACTGTTCATATAGTATCGATACTGTAAGAACAGTATTGGTACTTCGTACTTTGAAAAACAATTTTGTGTTCAAATCCTAGTTTAATGGACTTTGAATTATTTTTGAAATCTTTTGAAAACTTTGAACAAATTCAATTAAGTCCAAAAACATTTTGTCTTAATTTGTTATATCAAAATATTACAAAACATGGTTCAACAATCTCCCCCTTTTAGATATAACTAAACATTTGAAAAATTGTTTTTGACAAAACTCCCCCTTAAATAAATCATTTAATGAAAATGAGACATATTTTGGAAAACATTAAAACTACCCCTTTTTCATTCTTGAAATTGAATTTTTCAAACCATAATTCTCCCCCTTTTTGTTATATAAAAAATAATTCAACTTTAAGGTTCAAAAATAACAATGGAGAGTAAGTGGCAAATTTGACATTAAAATCATTTGGAAAATCAAAAGATCCCTCCTTAATAAAAACATTCCAAACAAAAAAATTGACTTGTAAAATTTTGACACTTAAAAGACATTGAATTTCAATAAAGATGAACAAACATGGTAGTAGTACATGAAATTCAATATATCCAAGTCTAATATGCTTTATGCAATACCAAATGTTGAATTTAAACACATCTGCATAAAGTTATCCAAAAAATGTTATGTATTTGAAAATTGATATCAATTGTTAGAGATATATCATTTGCAATAAATCACATGTATAAACATTTAAATTAAGGTCAAAAATTTAAAAATTATAAAAAAATAAAGCATTTGTAAAATTGATATAAATTGTTAGAGAGATATCATTTACATTTAAAACCAATTTTGACCAAATTCATTATGATAAACTAAAAATTATGAAAAATCATTAAAACTTTAGAGAATGTTCATCATAACACATTTTCAACATACATGAGATAGAAAACATGAAATCATTTAAAATCAAAACTCATGCATGCTTAAAACTAAATGAACAACCAATTAATCAAAGCAATGACATTAAGCTTAGAGGTTACCCATTCCTTTTCAAGTGTGGCTAGAGCATCTCAATTTCTTTACTTTGTCACCATTGCTCTCGCACACCTACAAGAGACATTTAAGTAGATTTTGGTATCCAAATTGCTTTGGATCCTTGGACGTTAGTTTCAATGCCCCTTGTTCCCTTAGGAACCCATACTTGTCTAATTTTAAAAGATTTTCTTTTCTTTATGGGACAAGTATGTTCCATGTGACCATGAAAATGACAATGTGAGCATTTTGCCATTTTTAAACATAATGAGTTGTTTTTAAAAATTAATTCTTTTTCTTTTGTTAAGCTCTCAAGCATAACTTTCAACTCAAAATTTTCTTTTTTCTAAATCATTGATTTTGATTTTTGAAAGCTCTAAATCATTTTTCAAAGTTTTATTTTTATTTTTGAAAATCAACTTTTGCTTTCAAAATCAAATCATTTTCAACTTTAAATTTTGAAATTAATTTCTTATATTTGAAATTCACGGTCTCAAATTCTAAATACAACTCATTATAAGCATCTTGTAACCCATCAAAAGAATATGAATTTAATTCATTTGAGTTAGAAGATACATTTAAATCTTCTTTGATGGCCATGAGGCATAGGTTGGCTACTTCATCCTCATCATTGGAGTCATCTTCATCACTCCAAGCCGCTACAAATGCCTTGTTCTTATTTGACCCATTCTTCTTTAGGAGGGGACAATCATACTTGACATGCCCCGTTCTTTGACAATTAAAGCACACCGAAGGACCATTCTTTTTGCTTGACTAATGCTTCACTTCCTTAGAAGTCATGAATCTCTTAAATCTTTTGAAGAGCTTGGTCATCTCTTTATCTTCTTTATCATCTTCATCCATATCTTCATTTGAATCTTAATTGCTCTCATTGGTGGATTTGAAGGCAATGCCTATCTCATTTTTCTTGTTTTTCTTTTCTTCATCATATTCTTCTTCCTTCACCATCAACTCATGAGTGAGAAGAGAACCAATAAGCTAATCAAGAGTAAGAGTCTTTAGATTATTAGCTTCGATGATGTCATTTTCTTCAATTGTCAAGAATTTGGAAAATAGTATATCATTTTTCTCACAAGCTTCTCATTAGGGATCACTTCTCCAAATCCCTTGAGACCATTGACAATCACGAAAAATCTATCCGTCATAGCTTTGATTTCTTCATCCGATTTCATCTTGAAATTCTTATAGCTATGGTTGAGAAGACTAATCTTGGTTTCCCTCACTTCATTGGTTCCTTCATGAGTGATTTGGAGCTTATCCCAAATCTCCTTGGCATTAGAACAAGATGAGACTGTTCCATATTCATCCGGGTCTAATGCACAAAAGAGGGTGTGCATATCTTTTGCATTGAATTGGAACTTCTTCTTCTCTCCATCACTCCAATCATCCATCTCTTCGGTAGGAATAGAGTATCCTTTAACGATTGAGTTCCAAGCTCCTAGATCATTGGTTTGAATGAAGATCATCACCATATTCTTCCAATAATGATAGTTTACTCTATTGAAATAAGGTGGCTTGTTGACCGGTTGAGAGTCTTCAATATAGTAAGAGCCGGAGGTTAAGCCTTCTAATGAGTCAAGCTTTGACACCAATTATTGGGATTAATGAAGCTCGAATTGACAATCGAAAATATTTTCAAGAGGGGGTGAATTGGTTTTTTGAGAATTTTTAAGGAGATTTAAAGAAATAGAAAACTGTTGCACAAGGATTTATAGTGGTTCGACTTTCTCAACCAAAGTCTACATCCACTACCTAAGCTCATCAGTTAGGATTTTCCAACAAATCTACTAATTTGTTCTTTCTTTTCAAGGATCAAGAGTAACATTTACAACTCCCTATCTTTTCAATTGGCTAAGATAGAACCAAAACCTCTTTCACAAAATGAAAAAGATGTAAATAAGAAAACCTCTATAAGGTAGGCGTTTACAAATTAAAGCTCACTAAAACACAACTATTTACAAGAGAAAGAAAATAAGAATAAAAAATGTTTATCTTATGTATGATTGCTTGGATGTGTGTTCTAACCCTTCTTCAAGTGTCTTGAAGTTGTATTTATAT